TAGACATGGTGCAGTGAATGATAGTTTAAGAGGCTCTGAGAATGAGGACCTTTGGGCCAAAAGTGAAGAAGTGTGGCTTGCCTTGGTGATGAGGACAGAGCAGCTAACTCAGCAAAATCTTGGCCAATATTCTTGTTTTTTGCTCTTACCCTTGGTGGTGGTCCTTACCTCATCTGAAACTGCTGTCTATCCATAATGATGAAGTAACAGACAACACAAACTGGGCAAATGTGAAGATGACCATGTAGCTGCTAGAGCAGAATATGATTTTGCTGCTGTATCTGAAGAAGAAATTTCTTTCCATGCTGGTGATATGCTAAACTTAGCTCTCAAAGAACAGCAACCCAAAGTGTGTGGCTGGCTTCTGGCTAGTCTTGATGGTCAAACAAGACTTATACCTGCTAATTATGTGAAAATTCTTGGTAAAAGAGGTGGAAAAGCAGTGGAGTCCAGCAAAATTTCTAAGCAGCAACAATCTTTTACCAATACAACACTAATTAAAGGAGCCACGCCTACTGATTCTTTGGATGAACAGGAAGCTGCCTTTGGATCTTTGTTGAAACTATTAAGGTTCCAGTTGCACCTGATTCCACTGATAAAGGTGGAGATAAACCAAATCTTTGATATCTTTCATGTTTGCCTGCAATGGAACTATACTTTTAAAAAATTACTTCTCGGGGCGCCTGTGTGGCTCAGGTGTTAAGCGTCTACCTTCAGCTCGGGTCATGATCCCAGCATCCTGGGATGGAGCCCTGCATTGGGATCCCTGCTCGGCGGGAAGCCTGCTTCTCCCTCTCCCTCTCCCCCTGCTTGTGTTCCTTCTCTCGCTTTGTCTGTCAAATAAATAATCTTTTTAAAAAAATTACTTCTAGGGTGCCTGGGTGGCTCGGTTCGTTAAGCGACTGCCTCCGGCTCAGGTCATGATCCTGGAGTCCCAGGATCGAGTCCCACATAGGGCTCCCTGCTCAACAGGGAGTCTGCTTCGCCCTCTGACCCTCCCCCCTCTCTTTCTCTCTCTCAAATAAATAAAATCTTTAAAAAAAATTACTTCTTACAAAAAAATTAATCTACAATCCAATGAACACATTTGTTAATGGCTATTCCAGGTGTTTTGCTGCTAGAAATTATTAAAGTTGTACACTAGCATGTTAGTCTAGTGACCTGGTTACATTTTACAAGTTACTGGACCTCATAGTCCAATTTATTTCACCTAGATTTTAAGATTATGGAGATTGCTATCATTTTCATCTGTTATTTGGAAGTAAGATTGATATACTATAGAATACACTGTTTGCTACAGTAGGGGTCTTTAATGCTTTTTAAAGTTAGAGCTTAAGGGTGCCTGGGTGGCTGAGTCGTTAAGCGGCTGCCTTTGGCTCAGGTCATGATCCCAGCGTCCTGGAATCGAGCCCCACATCGAGTTCCCTGCTCGGCGGGAAGCCTGCTTCTCCCTCTCCCACTCCCCCTGCTTGTGTTCCTCCTCTCGCTGTATCTCTGTCAAATAAATAAGTTCTTTAATAAATAAATAAATAAAGTTATAGCATAATTGATTTGCAATCCTCAGAAATCAAGTGATAACATATAAATATGAGAACAGGCAAAAGCCTTTTTTTTTTTTTACAAATTTAAATGGAATAAAAATTTTCCGATCTGTGTATAAATAAAACCTTAGAGATGTCTATAATGAAATTTAAACTGAATAAAAATTTTGTTCTGTGTATAAATAAATAAATCGAACCTTAGAGATGGCTATAACCAAGTTTTTTAAATTAAGGCTGGTAATTGGCAGCCTATATAATAAAAGGTCACTGTGTCAAAACTATACACTCCCTTCCTTCCTCCCATATTTTATATGGGATTTGTGGAGAAAGAGAAATGAAACTGGATAAATTCTAAATTGTCAATACAAGCAAAAAAGAGTAAATTCAAATACTTTGTTGCACATCACCTAAGTAAATCAGAAACCATTTTATAGAAGGGTGTTTCAAACAATGTTAAAATGAAAAAAAATGTTTAGCTTATTTAAAATTCTTGTTTTGGGTCAATTTTAAATATTTAGTTCCTTAGCCAGTAAAATTTTTTTTAAAATATTTTAAAATGTATTAAATGGTTTTGTATCTTATTTGCCATTAAATATAATCAATGATTTACACAATTATCAAAAGTACTTTGTGAACAATGTGAGTCTGATGAAAGCAGCTTTGTATAATTATGCTTTGTTTTTCAAATTCAAAGTAATAAATGTTCATTTTATTCTTTCCAAAGACTCAATTTAAAAAATATTTTAAAAATATTTAGCATATTACTGCTTTAAAATTTTAAAACACAGTCTGTGCTTAATAACATTTTCAAATTTGTCAGTAAGAGGTTGGTGCTATGAAGAGGAGGGAAAGTGGTTGGGGACAGGAAAGAAAGGAAGAGAATATTCTTAAAGTGAATGTTGATAAAATTAAGAGAAATAATGGATATCATCATCAGTTAACTATATAAAAACTTCCTGCTGTTTTAGCACAACCTGGTGATGACTGTTTGAGGTACAGCAAATGTCAGAAAAAAATCAATAAAATTTTCTAGTTATTTTAAATCCACTTATAGTAATACCCTTTTAATTCACAAATTTAAATATATCCATTCAGAGCAACTATAAAAACATTGCCTTATTTTTAAAATGGCATTTCCAAAAAAGGAGTTAGCCAAATACAATAGCAAAATTACATGATTATAGTAGGCTGAATGTGCAAACGACATCCTTTAACTAAACATCAGAAAGTAAAATAATCACACAGCCCTCTATTCTGTCATCAAATTATTTCAAAAACCTAATATTGGTACACCTCTGAACAAAAGTACAGAAATCTCTTTATGACAAACGGCTTAGAACAGCATAACACTGTTTCATTTCTTCAGCATCTTCCCCTCTAGCACTCTCCTGTACTTCCTAGAGCAATTACTTTGTTGAGGCAACTTAAGAAACATCTAAAAAGCAAGGCTTTAAGTGAGTGGTCACTGGTTACTGATAAAAGTTCTTGTTCTTTATAATAGAAACTTTGTGTATATTGTTAATCAAGATGGCATTTGGCATATGGCATGCCAGTCTTCAGCATGTACTGGTTTATTAAGAAAGGTGTGGAATCAGATTATTCTAATATATAAAGTATTAACAGTAACATTCTCTTACAAACAAACTCAATACAATTTGATATTATAATCTAGTTCTGCTCTAGCTCTTTCCACCGTTTCATACTTCTTTTTCCTGTATGACGGTGTAAATACTTGAGAACTTACTGGATACTGAGCCTCCCGATATATGTAGGAAGATTTGATTTGAATGTGTTGAGTATAAAATAGCATCTAAAAGAGCGCAGAAGGTAATTGCAAAGATGTGTTTTGTACATTTGTCAGGTGTTTACAAAATTCATTTCTCTATCTCACCCATTCTACAATATTCACTACCAACATTGATGCCTATGTGCTCCCTGGGCTCATCTGAAGCACCAGCACAGTAAATTATTTGACTGATGACTTTCACCGTTCTCCTAAAGATGGTATATAATCAGTACCATTCTAGATGCCACGGGGAGTGAGGGCTTAATTCTCCTGGAAACCAAAATAAGAAAGACTGATAGACAACAGTGCACCTCCTCTTCTTCCCCAAAATACTCTAGCCTCAGAACCATGGTGTTATCTATTTTTTTTTTTCATGGTGTATCTATTTAACTAACGGCAGACTGTCCTGTATTCGTAACCACAGGGGAAAGTTGTTTGAAAACACCCAACTTTATACATTCAAATCTTATTCTTCCTCTTGTTTTATTTTTCTCCTCAGTCCCTACCTTTGTCAAGCTCAGTATACATAAGTCACCTTTTTGTGACTTTTTACTGATTTTCTATCCAGAAACAATAAAAATCTTCAAAGCTTTTCTGGAGATTTAGAAACTACCATTTCTCAATATTTAGCATAATATAAAGCACATATAAATTTTGAGTTATCCTGTTCCTGAAATGATGATGAGAGAGATGAATGATTTTGATCAAAAAAGTGGTATGGATTTTGAAAACCTTTGCTTGACTCTCCTAAGAGGATAAACAAATGCTAAAAGTTGATAAGGTTTTTGTGGTATGTGCTAGCTGGAAAGTTCTTGAAGTTCATTTTACTAAGCCATAGCAAATACTTTAAAAGAATCTCATTCCACACTATACAGACCTTTTTTATTATACTGCAACATAATTTGAAACCAAAGATAATTTTCCTTGCTAACACTGTGGAACAAGTTTGCTTAGCTTTTTCAGTGGTCTGACTTCTTTTCTCTTAAGGTAATGGTGACAAAGATTCTAAAACAAGAACCTCTGCAAGAGTTTTAAAGAACTACCCCAAGACATTTATACATTGGAACACGAGTCACACTACTCTGTACTACAGACCATAGGCTGACAAACTTAACTTTGTAAGGGGTTGGATAGTAAATATTTTAGGCTTTGCAGGATACAGTCTCTGAAACAACTACTCAACTGTCACTGTTGCACAAAAGCAACCATAAACCATGAGTAAAAGTATAACCGTGTTCCAATAAAACTTTATTTATTTATGGACACAGAATCTCATATTAATTTTCATGTGTCTTGAAATTTTCTTTTTAATGAGTTAAAATTGTAAACACAATTCTTAGCCCACACACCATGAAAAGCAGGCGTTGGGCTCGATTTGGCTCACAGGCCAGAGCTGGCTGTGCCTTATATACAGGCTTATATATGTTATGCAAAACGTTTAAATTCCAAGCCTAAAGACTTTGGAGACTTGTTTTTTAGAGCTCTCATTTTAAAATTTGTACCAGACAAATTATCTACTCTGGATAAATACACTCACATGAGAAAGAGAAAATAATTCAGAATACATAACCCTATTTAAGAAAGAAAACAAAATCTGCAAAATGAATGTTTCACCTTAAAACATATAATTAGGAAACATTTAAAATTTTTATTCTATGCAGTATAAAACAATATGCATAGATTTGGTACATAATTTCTTGGTTTTTACTTTGGGAAAAAGGCAAGTAAAAGGTTTATAAATCTCTCCATCCCTTTTATAAAAACTGCAACTGAAATCAGCAATTCCTTGCATGTACAACCATCAACTCTGAATATATGAATTATACCTAGGGATTAGAATTTACCTAGATGAGTTATGGGTGCTCTTCTAAAATGTACAATTATATCATAGAACACTATGACTTCTACAATTTGGGACAGTTTTGAATATGAAACTCCTGCCTCCATATACATATATACATATAAGGAAACAAGAATACTCTTTCCAGTCATCAAGTATAAAAAAACTTCACAGTCTGATTTACCTTTATCAAAGGTAAAATGATTCACTGCTGCATTTCACGGATTATTTTGATCCTCAGTAGTTCCTTAACACAAAATAAATTTCACATGAACTTTTTATCTGTTTGGGTTTCCCAAAGTAAGATACTAATACAAAATGTATTGAACTGGCAGAAGTCCATGGGCTAAAGAAAAAGGAATTAAATATAAAATGTTCACGAACTTTATCCTTTCTAGTTTTCAATAGCTTCAGGTATTGAGACCTAATTGGTTTCTTGTGTCTATCCATTACGAACATAACTCAATCTTCTATTTTAATACTCCTCAGTGTCATCTTTTCCGTGGTGCTTTACTGTGCGACGTAGAAGATCATTTCGTCCAACTTCCATCATTTGTTCTTCCCAAGATTTCATTTCATTATAATAACGAATTTTATCATCATTAGCAAGTTGAATATATACCTGAGAAAAAGTGTAACTGTTAAAATGATTTCTTTAGAAGAGTCCTTTACAATTAATTTCTAGAATGCTCCATATACTCTAGAAATCACCTTACTGTTCTATATGCATAAAGGGGGACTGAAGAAGGAATGCTTTTTGAGATAAAAGATGAGAAAAGAGGCAGAGATAAAGATTTTTGTAAGAATTAATAAAGCTGGTACAATTTTAGGGCTTGGGATGTGGGAAAGGAGCAGAGGTAAGGCATGACTGTCACTGGATAGAGTGAGCACTCTAAGTTATGAGTGACATTGTTTTAAAATACCAATTTTATTTGCAATTAAAAACTAACAAAAGAAAAAAGCCACACTGTTTCTAAGGATATAAAAATAATTTTAAAATATTTTAAAGTGTTATTAGTGATATAAAGTTGTTTTCACATGAATCAAGCCTTGCCCTAATATATTCTCTCACAGATATTCTAACTAGACACTGGAAACTAAAACCATACTACTTACCTGCTTTTGAGAACTAGAGAGATTTTTCCAGTTTTCATTTATAGTCTTCAGCTTTACCTGTAAAACACATATGTTTAAGTACAAGATACAGAGACTTCAGTGGTTAAAGATCGTTTTTTTATTATTCATTACAACAATAAAATCTCAGATGTCAAGAATCACAGGCAGTTTTATCAATTCCTACCTTTCTTTCTAAATAAAAACTATTAAACTGTTGAAACATACAAAAAATGAATAGGATGAAGATATTTACCTTTTTATTGAGATATAATCAACATGTAACATTTTATTAGTTTCAGGTGTAAACTTCGATTCATTATTTGTATATACTGTGAAATGATCACCACCGTAAGTCTAGTTAACATCTGTGACAATAACACAGTTACAAAAATTTTGTTTGTGATGAGAACTTTTAAGATCTATTCCAGGCAACTTTAAAATATTAAATATAGTCACTATGTTGTACATTATATCCTCAAGACTTATTTAAAATTAGAAGTTTATACCCTTTGACCTTTCTCACCCATTTTGGGCCCCAACCCTAACCTCTGGCAACTACCAATCCATTCTCTATAACTATGAACTTGTTTTCAAGATTCCACTTATAAGAGAGATCATACAGTATTTATTTGTCTGTTTCTTATTTCACTTAGCATAATGCTCTCAAGGGCCATCCGTGCTGTTGTAAATAGCAAGATTTCATTCTTTTTGATGGCTGAATATTCCATTGATAAATAAACCACAGTTTCTTTATCCATTCATCCATTGACAGGCAGCTGGATTGCTTCCATGTCTTATTATAAATAATGCCCAATGAACACGGCGGTATGCAGATATCATTTCGAGATAGTGTTTTTGGTTCCTCTAGATAAATACCCAGAAGTAGAACAGCTCGATCATATAGTAATTTTATTTTTTGAGGAACCTCCATACCATTTTCTATAGTGAGCTGCAATTTACATTCCCATCAACACATGCACAAGGGTTCCCTTTTCTCGGCATCCTTGCCAACACTCGTGATTTTCTCATCTTTTTGATAACAGCCATTCTTTTTGATAATAGCCATCTTTTGACAATATCATTCTGAGGGGATATCTCATTGTGGTTTTGATTTGCATTTCCCTGATCATTTCGGATGCTGAACACCTTTTTATGTTAAGCTAAAACCTGTTAGCCATCTGTATGTCTTCTTTGAAAAAATGTTTATTCAGATCCTCTCCTCATTTTTTTAAAGATTTTATTTATTTATTTGTCAGAGACAGAGAGAGCATGCAAGCAGAGGGAGCGGCAGGCAGAAGGAGAAGCAGGCTCCCCTCTGAGCAAGAAGCCCAATGCAGAACTCAATCCCAGGACCCTGTAATATGACCTAAGCCAAAGGCAGACACTCAACTAACGGAGCCACCCAGGCGTCCCCCGTCCCCATTTTTTAATCAGATTGTTTTTTTGCTATTGGGTTGTACACATCCTTTACATATTTTAGATAATAACACATATATGATTTTCAAATATTTTTCTCTCATTCAGTAGGCTGCCTTTTCACTCTGTTAATGGTTTCCTTTCCTATGCAGATGTATCCTTTTTGATTCAGCAATATTAATATCCAAGTATAAATCTATATTCCTATGATAGACTAACTTCTAAGATTAAGTGTTTTTATTTCTTCCCTGTATCTTAATGTTTTATTCTAAAATCTGTGCCAAAGTGTTTAGGTGTAGTCACAGGAACAAAACAACACTAGTCCTTAATTATACTTAGCTGAACTTAATTATATGACTTGGAAAAAGTCATTATTACCTCCCTTAGGCTTGGTTCTTCATTTATAAAATTAAAAGGATTCGGGGAACCCATGGCTGGAGGAAAGACAGAGAGGAGAGTCAGCACACCTCATACAGCTTGTGCTGTTGCTTCCAGAAAGCAGAGACTGAAGGAATAAATGGGTGGGCAGAGAATGAGGGGCAGAGGGAGACAGACTGGGGTAGGAGAAGGCAAGTGTGAAGGAGACAGGCAAATGGTCTGAAAAGTATCTGTTTAAAGCTAAGAGGAAGTCATCAGTGATTTTAAGGAGAAGCAGAATGAGAATAATGAACTTTACTGTTCTGAACTCTTAAATTTTTTCCTATCAACAAAAATGGAGGTACCAGATAGTATCTGGGGCTACATAACCATTACATTTTGAACATTTTAAAACTTTCCTTTATAAACACATCTGATATATTCAGGGACAGTTACTAAATAACTGCTCTCTTAGCTTTGGAAGGAATTGCTGTAATGCTCTCAATTCTTTCTTTAAGTTTTTTGCTTATATTTAATCCATAAACTTTTGTATTCACTGAGTTCAACAATAATTTATGAAGTTGTACGCCTAAATAATCTCAGCTTTCACCTAAATAAAATAATTCATTAAAGAAAATTAAAGAGATGGAAAGGTATTTACTTTTGCTCCCTCCTAAAACCCATTAAACAAAGCCCCTCCACCATGTGAGAGGATACCAGCTATGAACCAAGAGGGACCTCACCAGTAGGCAACCATGATGATGTCTTGATCTTGGACTTCCCAGCCTCCAGACTGTAAGCAATAAATTTCTACTGTTTATTTTTTTTTAAAAAGTAAATGAATACACATTTTTTTTTATGGCATAAACCCACATGGAAAAGACAACAGGAGAGGGCACTCCTGACACAAAATTTTAGAAGCTGAAAAGCAGGTGGAGAAATGGTGATTTACCTAACCAACAAGGCAAATTCCCAAGCTTGCACTGGGGAAAGCCAAAAAAGCAAACCAGTTTACAAGGCAGAATTCCCAAGTAGCTCAGGAATTGGCAGCATCAGATAGGTAGAAAACAGAGGTGAAAGTTGGGCTTAAAACAGGAGACTGACTGAAGTTCTCTTGAAAAGGAGATTAAATCCCCACCATGGGCAGATTCTAGGATTTATCCTCTCAAAAGGGTAAAACAGAGCTACTCTATAGATACCAGGTATAGATGGGGACAGTGGCGATTAAGTAAAAATGTATACAGTATCCAGAAAGAAAGGCAAAAAAGGCTAAGAGAAAATAATACAGAAAAGAAAATGAGGACCAGCTCAGAAGACTCTCTCTCTTAGAACAGAGGAAAAAAAGGGGGGAAAGGAAGAAAAATGAAAGCAGATCACATTCAAAGGACTAATAATCAAAATGGCTTTATACTTATCAAAAGCAATCACAAGAAGCTACAAGGGGCGCCTGGGTGGCTCAGTTGGTTAAGCGACTGCCTTCGGCTCAGGTCAGGATCCTGGAGTCCCAGGATCGAGTCCCGCATCGGGCTCCCTGCTCAGCAGGGAGTCTGCTTCTCCCTCTGACCCTCCCCCCTCTCATGCTCTCTCTTTCTCTCTCTCTCAAATAAAATCTTAAAAAAAATAACAAGAAGCTACAAGAGAAAGCAGCAATATTTTTAAATTTTTGAAAGAACATGATTCCTACCCTAGAATTCTATGCCTAAATCATCAAACAAATGTAATGATAGAGATATTTTCAGAAATGCATAAACTCAAAAAATTGATCTTCCATGTACTCTCACTGGGGAGATGCTATAAACCAAGAAAGACAACAGAAGAAGCAAAAGCACCACAAGGATGAATGTCAACTGTGCACTAAGCATAAAAGGCCACAACCAAATTGGAACAAATCAGAGGCACCAGACTGAAACTGACAGAATAGCTAATGCGTCTAAATGCACTGAAAGCTGGTGAATATATTTAAGAGTTTAAGGCTAAATTACTGATAGTATATAATAAGCTAAGGAAACAAAAACACAAAACATAATGAACTTCAGTGGAAGTGGGTTTTGTAAGAAAGGAAAAATAATCATAGCAAATGGCACAGCTCAGCTATGACTACATTATCATAATAACATACTCGATATTGAACTAACCAAAATTATGATAAGTATACTGGGAGGCAGGTGATTGGAAACATGAACAGTGGGATGAGAAAGTGTTAAATGTTAGTCTTAAATAGTGGGAGGTAATGCCTAAAATATAGATAATGCTTAAAACTGAAATAAATCAAGAAGTAACAATATAAGGTATTACTTAGAGATATGGAGGTAAATACCACAAGAGTGAGCTAACAGTTGAAGGTATTTGCTTCTGGACTAAGCAGTATGACAGGGCTGTGAAAACTGGTACCTTTCATAACAAGTCTTATTTTGATTCTTTTAACTATGAGGATGCATAACCAATATTTTTTAAATGATTAAAAATGACAGTTGCATTAATTTTAATTTCCCGGGATAGAGTCCCTCAGCCATTAAGCTTTCTAGGTGATTCCAAGGTAGTCTGAGTGGAGAACCACTGATTTAGGACGATTCTCTAGCATATAACTTTCTTATACTGATAAGAAAACTAAATCCAAAGTAAGTTAGTGACTGAGCAAATTCCAACTAAAAGAATAAATAGGCATGCATTTTAGTAATGTAAAGACACAGAAACTGAATTTTTAAATCCCAAGGAGTGGGGCGCCTGATGTCTCAGTCGGTTAAGCATCTGGCTCTTGATTTTAACTCAGGTCATGATCTCAGGGTCCTGGGATCGAGCCCCACGTCAGGCTCCCCACTCAGCGGGGAGTCTGCCTGTATCCCTCTCCCTCCGTCCCTCTCCTTGGCACGCCTGCTCTCGCTCTCTCTAAAATAAATAAATAAATCTTTAAAAAAAAATAAGACAAAATAAAATCCCAAGGAAAAAATCAGTGAAAAGTATACAGCCAGGGAAGACTACATCACATATACATTATTTAATCGTATGTTAAGCAGATTTGTGAAATGAACTACAGATCCAAATAACCCAAAATGTGGCAGAGTGGCAAAAACCATCTCAGATTGACAAGAGTTAGGGATCTGAACACTTTTCTTACCATATCATATTATAAAAGGAAAAATACAATTGCCCATTTGTAGCTTCTAGGAAGGAAATAAAGGAAACAATAAGCCACAGCAGGAATGACGAGCTTCTCTTTTTCTTTGACCCATTCATATGATGATACTCATGTGTATAATACATTCTCACAGGCATAACCAAAATTTTATTAAAGGGTATAAGATGAAGCAATAGGTTATACTCAAATCCCAGTACAAAATATTTTAATTCTACTCTCATTCTTTCCCAGTGATTGCAAAACAGTTAAGAATTGCCAGATGAGGGGCACCTGGATGGCTCAGTTGTTAAGCATCTGCCTTCGGCTCAGGTCATGATCCCAGGGTCCTGGGATCGAGCCCCGCAGCGGGCTCCCTGCTCAGCAGGGAGCCTGCTTCTCCCTCTCCTACTCCCCTGCTTGTGTTCCCTCTCTCACTGTGTCTCTGTCAAATAAATAAAATCTTTAAAAAAAAAAAAGAATTGCCAGATAAGAAGTCTCCAGAACTTTGACACCCCTATAAATTTGAAAATGTTATTTTTTAAAATAGAAAAAAAATTGAATATACATGTTGGCCACTAAGTACTCAATCGTATGTGGCAAGAAAAAGGGTTTTCCTTTAAAAGAGACACAAGAAAGAGGACCTTAATTGTATACTTATTTATAAATTTACTACTTTTCTTCACCTCCTAACATATGGAACCCCTATAATTTTCTGTCTAAATATTTTAAAAATCAAAATAAACAAAAATTTAAAAAACAAATGCTGTTCTGTTTTACCTGTGATGTACCATCCTTAGTTTCCTGGAACCTTTCAGCTATAAAAATGTTATAAGCTGAGCGAGGTCTTTTCGGTTTTCCAAGCATTGTTAACTCCTGAGTAACAAAAATGAAAAAAGTTAGATACAGTTTTTAACTTCTGTGAGACTTAACTTTATCTACAGAAACTTTATTCACTACTATGCATATGGAAAGTTTTTGTAAGTGAATGTTATAATTCTTATACAAAGTGACCGTTCTGAGGATGAGAATTTTTTTGATAACACTAAGTTTTAGAAATTATAATAGATTTTATGAGTTATTTTCCATACAAAAACATTTCCTTTACATACGATTTTCATAGTCTCCACAAACTGAATAACTGAGCAAATATGTACAAAATCTTTTTTAAAGGTTAAAACAATCTCAGCTTCATCCTTACAGGACACTACCATCTCCTAGTCACTACATGGCTCCACCACAACTCATGAACACTAGACTATCTGTTTAATAATCTCTCACTGCATTTCCTTCTCTGATAAATCTCTCAACTTTTAAACCTCAACAATGTGTTAAATTCAACTCTTTTAATTGGATACCAAAGAGCAGGGGATGCAGGATATGGAAAATACACATATCCCTTGCTGTTTAAATCAGTTTAGTTTCTGACTTTCAGAGAATAAGGGATACTGCATTATCCTAATTAGTTTCTGAATTTGGATAGTAGTACTTGTAATTTATAAAAGTATATGGCTTTTGATGGTAATTTGGTTAAAGACGATAACCCAATTTTTATTCATAAGTAAAAGAAGGACCCCTGTGATTTACTACCTTCTCCCTGAACTTTTCAGTCATAAAACTACTGTAGACTCCAGGCACTTCATAACTATTTCTTTTTTTGTTTCTATAGCTACTGCTAGGGATTTCTCTCCCACATGCTCTACTTGTAACTTCCTGATCCCCACACTTCTCACCTGATTTCTAACTGGTTGGCACTGGGAATCTTCAACAGAAAGAAAAATTCCAACAGGGAGTGAAAATGGAAGTCTGAGAGAAAAAACCTTCAGGCTTCACGTTTCTGGTTCTACATGCAAGGAGCTTGGAAGTCCTCACTCCTTCCTAACAGTAAGTATAAAGCTGAACAGACTGAAAAATCAACAACCTTTCTTGGATCCAAGAGAAAGAGGAGGAAACAGGGCAAACTGCTGTCCCCTAGACTGGAGAGACATACAAGTGAATACAGGGAGTCGAGGCAACCCCTGCTGGAACCAGTGCTGGGGTAGGAAAACCTCTATTGTAATAAATGAATTGCTGGATGCTCTGTGTGGACAACTCTTAGAGTTTAAAAACTACAGGGGGACCCAATCATAGGAGGGTCCTCACAGTATTGTGAGATTTATCTCTAGGAGCTAGACCAGATTTCCACAACAAATACTGGAAAAAATCCCCTCCTGCTTCTGTGAGGGGAAGAGGAAAAGAAACTATTTTGAAATGCCTGAGCACTCAACTATTAACAAGGCCTGTCCTCAGGGTTAACTAGTTAACGAGAACCTAACTGACCTGAGTGAAGGGAAATACCCAACTCCTGCACACTCTAGCCATCCTGTCCCACACCTAAGGGGGAGGCGGTGTGTGCAGGAGTGAACTCAGAAACTCTTGTAAAGTTCACAGACCAGTGCCACAGGCTCACTAAAAGATCAGGACCTAATCATAGGACTACAGAATGCTTTTCTTGCCCCCACACGCCATCACATTATGAAGGCCTATTTACAGTAGTTCCTTCTACCCAGTACCTCACGTCCATCTATCAAGAAAAAACTTCCAAGGTATACTAAAAGGCAAAAAAACATAATTTGAAGAGACAAAGCAAGCATTAGAACCAGATGAGAGGGGTGTTGAAATTATTAGACCAGGAATTTAAAACAACTAGATTAATATGCCAAGGACTCTAGACTGCATGCAAGAACAGACTGGCAATAAAAAACACAGAGATGGAAATCCCAAGGATGAACCCCGCCCCCCCAAAAAAAGTTAGATATCAAAAATGCTGTAATAGAAACAAAGAATGTCTTTGATGGACTTATTAGACTGGACATGACTGAAGAAAGAATCTCTGAGCTAAAAGACATATTAATAGAATCCTCAAAAATCCAAAAGCAAAGAGAACCAAGACTGAAAAAAAAAAAAAACTGAACAGACTATCCAAGGCCTATGGGACAACCTACAACAGGTGTAACAAACATATAATGGGAATACGAGGGATGCCTGGGTGGCTCAGTCACTTAAGTGTCTGCCTTCAGCTCAGGTTGTAATCTCAGGGTCCTGAGATTGAGCCCTGTGTTGGGCTCCCTGCTCGGCTATAAGTCTGCTTCTATATCTCCCTTTGCCCCTCCCCCTGCTCATGCTCGCGTGCACCCATTCTCCCTCTCTCTCTCTCTCAAATAAACAAAATCTTTTTTAAAAAATAATGGGAGCATGAGGAGAAAGAGTAAGGAAGAAAAGAAATATATGGGGCGCCTGGGTGGCTCAGATGGTTAAGCGTCTGCTTTCGGCTGAGGTCATGATCCCAGGGTCCTGGGATCGAGTCCCGCATCGGGCTCCCTGCTCCCTGGGAGCCTGCTTCTCTCTCTCTCTCCCTCTCTCTCTCTGTCTCTCATGAATAAATAAATAAAATCTTAAAAAAAAAAAAATTTTTTAAAAAGAAATATATGAAAGGGAAATCCCATATCACTGCCCAATCCTCATTTCTGGTCCTCTCCACTCTTACCAATGGATGGGTGCATTAAAGAGGAAGGGAGAATAAAAGTGGGAGAATAAACTTTAGTAATCACACCTCCAAATACTATCCCTAAGTAGACACAGTATTTCTCTTATTATCTTTTCTGACTCCCTTTTACTAATTGGATCAGAAGACTAGATGACTATCTAGATTACTGACTTTAAAATGGGTGAGTCCTCAACTCTGGTACTAGGAGGGCTTGACATTAGGGTCAGGGAGAGAAATGCTGGCATCTCACATCAAAGTCTCAGATCTACTTTTCCAAAGAAGTAGTTTTAACTCTGATGACTATTTTCTATAGTATATGTACTGGACCAGCAAGCTGACTACCTCTTACCTAACATTGGTTCTACAGAAAAATGTAGTCTTTCAAGCAAAAGAATTTATGTGGATTAATAACTTTAAGCTGAGAACTACAAATTTTGAACCATATGGGGTTCTTAATAAGGAAAAATCAAATTTCATCCTATGGGCACTTCTTACTTGACTAGATACAGTAAGTCACTTCTTCCTGATGTGTTAATGAATTCAGTCTATTTAGCAACATTCAGAATCAAACTCGCCATAACCTATAAAACAATTCAAATCAGCAGGTTATTCTAGATAAGACCCAGAAGCAAAGATTCTTGTTATTCCTGATTTGGCTGTTTCATAACTCTGTTCCTACAGCTTTCATGCTAGTCCTAACTACGTATCTTAAATACAGATACATCCAAAAATAATTAACAAGGTTTCCGAGACAGACTCAATGCCAAGTGGTACTAGTGGCAGAAAACAGCTATCTCGTTATTTCTTTTCTTTTTTTTTTAAGATTTTATTTATTTGACAGAGAGAGACACAGTGAGAGAGGGAACACAAGCAGGGGGAGTGGGAGAGGGAGAAGCAGGCTTCCTGCAGAGCAGGGAACCTGCTGCAGGGCTCGATCCCAGGACCCTGGGATCATGACCTGAGCTGAAGACAGACACTTAACAACTGAGCCACCCAGGAGCCCCTATCTCGTTATTTCCTAAATGGGGTACTCCTGATGACATTCTACCATTTAGCCACACATATAAGAAAAACTTCCTATATTCCTAGTTATATAAATTTCAGTCCTTTGCCAAAGGAAAAGAACATTTCATTGATACTCACTCTTTTTTTTATTAATGCTTTCTTTTTTAAACGTTTTTGCAGGATTTCTTTTTCCAAAGATACGATCTGACTTGGAGTTAACTGTTCTTGAATTCTGTTTATCTCTTCTTTGTATGCCTGCCAGTCTGCCCTGTAAGCATCTTCATATATCTATAAATAAAAAGCCCAAATAAGTCAATAAACTACTGCTGGTAAATTAAACATAGCACACCTGCCAGGGAAAGACAACTGCATGACTTCAGATAAAGCAGACTGAACCACCAAGTGGAAAATGTGCTCTGGAATTACATGTATATGGATTAAAAACATATATTTTTTATATACATGCTAACCAAGGTTAAATCTACCTTGGTAGATTTAACCAATCTAGAGTCTACCAATTAGTCTCCAATTTCAGATTGCTGCCAACCCTTTGTCACCACTGCGATACATTCATAATTCTAATCATTTATGTGAATCAGAAGGTATGAAGTTCCTTTATAGATAATGGGTATCAAATAAAATTTTTTTTGGTACCTTAAAGGACATGACTATTGTTTTTAACTGCAGAATAACTGGTCAGCAATGCTGAAAAACCAATATGCTTACTTTTTTCTCTGAATCAGGAAGTTCCCTCCATAGTTGGGCGATTTTTCTAATTAGTTCTGAATTTTTCGCATCTATAGATTGGAATAAAATGAAAAAAAGTCACAATTTTTATGTCTCAGGATTAATTTCTAAAGACTTCTAGGAAAGCATAATCCCTTAGCTCTAAGTTTTATTACAGATGCCTATCACACACAACTCAATACAATGATTTAGGTTTTCTTTAATCAACTAATTTAAATTTGATAATTTCATATTTTATTCAACATTGTTAAAATCTGTTATCTAAAAATTAAGAAGTATATCACATACCCCCAAATAGTCCTCAGAAATTATTAGTTTAAGCAGTTGGGTAATCAACTTCTTCAAGCTTTTTACTTCGTATTTCAAACAAAACTTTTTTCCCAGTCTTTCAGGAATTATTAAGTTCATAAAACCTGACTAAACAATAAAATATAGTCTTGATTCATATAACATCACCTTGTATTTCAATTACAGAAATATTATTTGCAAACAAACTATTCTAAAATCAATTCATTATTCCCCATTTCCTTCCTCATTTTAACTGGAATGACTGGGATATATGTAAACATTTTAACAAACCACTTAGTTTGAACTACCATATTTTAAAAGATGTGAGTACTTCCGAAATATGTCTCTTAAACCAATTCGTTATAATGTGAGAATTTTCATTACAGCTCATTTGGTTTTCACAAGTGCCCTGTGAAAGGGCTTTTGGAAATCATAAACAAAGTTGACTGTTATTATTATCTTTATACCACTATAATCCCAAAGGAAGGCCCACAGCCTTTCTAGGGAGTCAACAAACATACTACCTGGAAATCTCTTTTTTCAGGAATTCAACCAATTTCCAGTGAAAAAGCTCTTGAAATTAGCAGTAATTTGTATAGAGCTTTACAGTTTATAGAACACATCCACATTAAGTTATTATTTCATTGCAATTTCATTAACAATTCCCTGAAGTAGGAGCTAAGTAAGAAATAAGATGGTTTATCAATGGTGCTCCAGGCCAATGGCCACTAGATCCCCCAAAATCAGCTTTTTCATCCTCTTCCCTGGATGCTTTCCACTCCACATGCTGCTATTTTTAAAATGCCTTTCATTAAATGTCAGGAGGATAAAGTCAATGATATTGTAACAGCATTGTATGGTGACTGTTAGTAGCTACACTTGCGGTGAGCACAGCATAATGTAGAGAGTTGTGGAATCACTAAAATCACTATGTTGTACACCTGAAACTACCATAACACTGCGCACCAACTATACTTCAATAAAATATATATATAGTAATAAAAAGTAAAATAAAAATAGCTTTCATTAGCTCGTAACTTATTTTTAAGGCATTTCTACCTGGTAAAAAATACGTCCTACTTCCTATTTTACAGACCACTAAATGTAATGGTTGTGTTTCCGCAGTCAATGGATGTTTTGAAAACGCAAATCAAGTTTGAAGATTAACTGTTTAGTGTCCTCTTTATTAATTCATAAAAGAGTAAATGCTCCAAAAATCCTTACCTGGGTTCTGAGCTTTAAATAAGGGTAGCTGTTCTTTAGAAAATCGAACGTATGAAGTCAGAGGCTTCTTTGGGTAACTATTCGCGGCGGATGAAAAACATCTCGGTACGTACGCAAAACTACGTATAAAGAAAATAACCAATATCAAGTATTTAATTGACAATATTCATTTGTATATGAACACAGATCCCAAATGAGATGCCATCAAGATGCTACAGATGACACCGTGTTTGTGACACTTAAAACCCTGTCCTAACCAGAAAGAAGACCTGCAAAACTAAGTCTCAAAGCTCTAAGTCTGCTAGGAAGGGCAAAATGGAGGAAAGCATCTATACTTCAGCTCCTGGCCCCTGCCTTCTTAAGGCCTATATTGATGGCGGGAGGCTCGTTGCGCGACTTCGCAGAGAACTCTGGACGAGTGCTACAAGGTTGGACAGTGCGGTGGGGCGGGAAGGAAGGGGAAAGGTGGAGGGTGGCCGGAAAGACTACTGGCGTAAGGCCTGGTCTCAAAACCACCTAGGCAAAGTCGAGGTCTGAATCAAAGGGCCATAGTGGCCCGGACCTCGTAAGAAGGACAAACAGTATACATTCCAATCCCAGAGCGTCCTGGGCCGTGCCACCGTGGCACGCGAGCGGTCCCACCTGAAAGGAGAGCGCAGTCGACTTCCACAGCCCGCGCACAGGTCCGCTCCGGACTTTCCCAGGGCACTCAGCACGCTCCACACGCCCCGGAAAAGCGCCATTGCACCAGCCTACAAGATAGCGACGGGGCGCCAATCTCGTAGAGGCCTGCGGCACAACAGAACAACTCCAACAATGACTAGTAGAACCCGCTGCCGACCCTCTGCAGTTTACTCTCATGCCCGCCACTCGCGAGGCACCATGGGAAATCCGCCAGCATCCGGTTGGTAGTAGGGGGCGGGGCAAGGCAGAATTGACGCAGGCGCTGTAGTGGCTTCCCTGGTGGGAGGGGCTGCAAAGGAGGAGGAGCTCGGGGGCGGAGAAGGGAAACTGCAACCCGGCTCTCCTGCGGAGGGTCCTGGCCTCAAGGGGGCGCAGCTGAGCCGCCTCTGCCCCCGGCCCCCCCCCCTCCGCAGTCGTTTCCTCCGCGAGGCCAGGAGGTTGATGGAGGCACTGCGGCGGTCTCACACCTATAGGGCAGTGCTGGCTGGCGTCCGCCTGTGACGACCGAAAGGGCTAGTACGTAACAATTTTACTACGAGGACGCGGGATAACTGTGCCGCCCGGGCTGCTGCGAGGTGAGGCTGGCGGGTGCTGCGCGACGAGCGGAGCCGCTCAGTTCAAGCCGGAGCTGGAGCTCTAGAGCCCAAAAATACTGCTGGGGCGGGGATGGGGGAGTGGGAAGTAGGGAGTGCTTTCAAACCTAAAAATGCAGGTGTCCTGGCCTTGCCGCAGTGCCTGATTAAGTATGTCTGTGTGAGGCCCGTGAATCTCTGTTTTCAACAAATTCCTCACGGTTTAACAAGTTCTGATGCCAGTGGTCCTGGGACCACATTTAAAGCAGTACTGATGTAGACCGTCCTCCCATCCATTGCAACTATCCCAGACCCAGCCTGCAAGCCTGACATCCAACCCTGCTTAATTTCTAGGAAGGAGATTTGGCTAATTAGTTGTGCGGAGACACTATCTAGCCCCAGCGTTAATGTTAAAAGTCTTGATCCCTAAATGTTGCATCCTCTAAGGTTCAGTTTTCCCCATTGCAGATGAGGATGCTGGACTAGATTAGTTTTCCCAAAGTCCTGAGAACGTGTGACAAAGGCATACTTGAGTTATTGATTGATAGGCTGTACAACCATTTTCTGTGTAGACAATGGCATGAAAAAGATTGGGAAGACCTATACTAAAAGTATCTAAGGATCAGCTTTTACATCACAAATTATTTCCGAGATAGCCACCTCCTGAAACAGCCTCTGTTGGGTAGCTATAATTGTTAATTCTTAATTGAATAATTGAAAATTCTGGGCGCCTGGGTGGCTCAGTTGTTGGGCACCGGCCTTCAGCTCAGGTCATGATCCCGGGGTCCTGGAGTCAAGCCCCACATCGGGCTCCCTGCTCCACCGGAAGCCTGCTCTCCCTCTCCACTCCCGCTGCTTGTGTTCCTGCTCTAGCTGTCTCTGTCAAATAAATAAATAAAATCTTAAAAAAAAAAAAAAAGAAAAAATTCTTACCACTGTAATATTAAGCTGAGAGTCAACTGCCTTTCTGTAGCTTTGAAACATTGGCCCTTTGGTGCTACAAAGGACTAAGCCCACTTTTAAGTGGTAAGTAAGAAACTACTATTTCTATTTTTTTCTATTTTTTCTATTTCTATCACCTATTTGTAGACTCTCAGGGTTTGAAAGGAACCTCCCAGGTAATCTGTTCAAACTTCCCATCTTGTCATGGAAGAAACAGGTGTTTTCTGATTATATAACTATGTACGAGGCCCCCAAACTTGGGAAAAAGACACAACATTCCCCCACTCCCAATAAAGTCAAATGAGAGAAACAAAGAAATAAACAATTAAAATTCACTGCCAAGATAGAGTTAAGTATAGGATATACTTCCTTATAATTACATTTTTCTCTATATTTTCTAGAATGTTTTTGTTCTTTCAGACGTTTGATAAAAGTTAAACTTCTTTTGGATATTTAAAAAATCTCCCCTCTCATGCTGTTTCTCTCTCTCTCTCTCTAATAAATAAATAAAATCTTTAAATAAATAAATAAATAAATAAAATCTTCTTGTTGTTTTAAAGTGTCATTTTGAGGGGCGCCTGGGTGGCGTAGTTGGTTAAGCCTCCGACACTTGATTTCGGCTCAGGTCATGATCTCAGTTTCCTGGGATCCATTGAGCCCCGCAACAGGCTCCATGCTCAGCGTGGAGTCTGCATGAGATCCTCTCTCTCTCTCTCTGTCCCTCCCACTCGTGCTGTCTCTCACTCTCTCAAGTAAATAAAATCTTAAAAAAAATTAAAGTGTCATTTTGATAAACCTTGCTGTACAGGTCTTATAAATCAGATCTGTAATTTGTTTTCATCAGATACCAATATTCTTTAACATTCATTTACATTGCAGTGTAATTTTATTCTGAATGCAGCATTTACAAATATAATCCTACCTACTTGTTCAAACTGTCTTTAAACAAAAAGGCATGTGATTTCATTTATACTTACTTTATGAAATGTGAAGACCTGCCACAGCCTTTCCCAGGGTTCTGTTACTTTGTTGTGTTTTAAATGTTTATCTACTCCCATGACTTCAACTATCAGTTATATCCTCATGATTCCCATGTTTTATATTGAATCCAGACCTCATTTTAGTTCCAAATCTATATAGCCACTGTCTTCTGGACATCTTTACCATCATGTCTCACAGATACTTCAATTTTCCCTGAAGAGAATTCACTAACTTTCTCCTATTTTGAGCTCCTTGTCCTGGTAAGAGGCACCAGTATCCCATTTGAATCATCCAAGCTAATAATTTGATAAATCATTTTATAATCTCTCCCATTGACACTGTAACTGAACTACTGCAAGTTTGCTCTTTGGTAAGTCACAGAAACTATACTGGTGGAGTTGTCACACAAAGTAAACTTTATTTGCAGCAAATAAGGAGATCATGAGGAATAAACTTCGAAGACATGACCCCCTGAACAAGGCTTAATGGGTTCCTTTTATTTGCATTAGGATGAATATTTGGATAGGGAAGTGTTGTCATTGTAGGTAGGGGTAGGCACGAGGTCAAACATGCGGCTTAAGGAAACATGCCTTAACATTGCATGTTGTATAAATGCTCAAATGAGGCTTGTGCTCCTCCTTGGGTGGAGATTTTACTATAATAATGAGGTAAAGGTAACTGTCAGTCATTCCATGGCTCACTCCATGGTCCATCTGTGCAGGTGTGAGCTGGGGTTAATCTCAAATTGGTCTGGATGGTCTGGGCCAGCTGAACTCTGCCCAGGCAGTTGCTATCACTTGAGGGGTAGTTTCGGTTTCCTTCCCAGGATGCTATGCCCCTAGGGCCTTTTGCCTGAGTTACAAGATAAGCTGGACAGAAAAAAGTGGGGCAAAGGCCTATGGGTGCAAGCAGGCAAGCAGTAAAGTTCAGGTCATGGAGTCTAGCTGGTGACAACACTTCTCCCCCATCAATCAACTAATGATAAGTATTGGTTTACGAATTGTTTCCTGATTAGAACAAAGTCGAGATGCAGCCTTAATTATTAAGAGCACATCAAAGTTATTTTTAGCCACTGCTGTAGCAACATTACGCAAAATAAATATAGCCTTTCTATTTTAAAGCTGATTCTATGAGTCAGCAGGAGGTAGGACAAGCAGAAAGGATAGCTATAATTTTATGCAAATTATAAAACTCAAATTCATATTGCCAGATATTCCTGAAAGCTGACTTAAAGAGTGGAAGAAATCCAGAATGATTATGTTGAGGGAATAATGTTAATAAACAGGATAACTTTACAGTATTTGCCCTTGCATTATTGTAAAACACCTGATCAATTCAAATTATAATTAATTGCTCAATTATGTGCCAAACATTTTATTTCTTGGCTATTTACATCTTTTTAAATTTTTATTTTAATTCCAGTTAGTTAACATATAGTGTTATATTAGTTTTAGGTGTACAATATAGTGATTCAACACTTGCCTACAACACCCAATTCTCATCACAAAGGCACTCCTTAATCCCCATCACTTATTTAACCCATACCCCACCCGTCTCCCCACTGGTATGTGCCAAACATTTTAATACATTATCTCTAATTGTTTCAAAATCCTACAAGGTGGAATTCTTTTTATTGTACTGGTATGAAAATGGGTATTCAGAAAGAGATATATAGGAAGGATTATCTTTATTGTTGCATCTTGTTATAACTTTCCACCTATGAATCCACAGTTTACAGCTTTGAAATTATATTTGATTGTGTGAAAGGACAACATAGGCAAACAAGTCATGAAATTGCAGGGTTTTTTTTCAATACTCACATTCTGTTGTTTCTTTTCTATCCCTATAAAGACTCTTTCTTGACTTCCTTAACTAATAGTACTGTTAAAATAACATCTTAAGTTCCTTTATTCACTCATTCATTCAGTCATTCAAAAACATTAGGCTTGAATTTTTAAAACTACACACGTGTAGTTTCACACACGTGTGAATGCATAAAAAGTATGTAAAATAATACACACAAAATTGGGTTTAATGGTGATTATACCTGAGTATTGCAGGAATGTGTAGATGGTACTCACTTTTTATTTTACATTTTTTTCCCAAAATATAACAGTAATATTCATCTTTTATAATATATTTTTTTTGAAATTCAGTTCCTAGTAGAAGCCAGTACTATGCTAGATACTGCAATAACTTCTAAAAATACAAAGATGACTAAGGCATGATCCATCTGTTTAAATCTGCCTGGGGAGAAGGGGATGGCTTCATAAAGCAGGTGACATTTGAACTGTTTTTTTCAAGTGGGGAAGGGTGGAGGTGCATTTCAGAAAAAGGAAACTGTATGTGCAAGTCACAGATAAACATGAGAGCATGGTGTACTTTAAATACATATATGGAGATGAGTGATATGACACAAATCCAAAAATGTTGGGCAGCATTAGGTTGTGAAGGGCTGTGTGTAATATGCTAAGGAGTTTATTAGCAAAAGACAGACAATTTTTTAGGCAGGTTAAACTTGTTTTTAGAAAAATCTCTTTGGTAGGACCACAGAAAGTGATGGGAGTGAGGAAATAGTAAAGAAGGAGATGAGCGAGGAGGGTATAACTAAAATCCAGGAAAGAGCCTGAGATTTTGAACTAGCATACTGCTACAGCTCACAATCCAAAGTCATTTCTCAGTACCAACAGTATTGACCAGTTTAGCTGATGGAAACCAAGAATGACTTTGAGGATTCTAGTATGACAGGCTATTCCTATTCAAATTTTATACTGCCCTAAATAAATATCCCTAAACAAATGCTTTTATTACATTAGTTGCTGGTTAAAAACTTATACTGACTTCTTACAGGCTATCAAATCAAGGTTTCACATCCATAGATCTGCCTTC